GAAAGGGAAATGTGACCGACAAATTCAAAATGAATGCTAAAAAAAATGCTAATGAATGAGGAAGACTTTGAAAGGGACGCCGAAGTTGCCCACTTTCTTCTTCTTGACAGGTAACGTCAATGTTATGGCCTAAATTACAAGCTTTTTCTTTCCGTGGTTGTGTAATTCATTATATAGGCAGTATAACTGTAAAACATGTATATAGTTAAACTCGATGAAGTAAAATGAAAAAGTGAGGCGCTAGAGAGCACTGTTCGTTTGAAAATACAATTAGATGGGAGAAATTCCTAGCCAGTGCACCTTTAAGGACTAACTTGTATGGTCTTTAACAAATAGCCTCCAAAATGGAGGAGGTCAAAAGGCATGTTTCCTGCAATATAGTATTATCAGCTCTCCCGCCACAGTCAGTTCATGTTACCGACAGATCATCAACAAATGAAAACATTTTCAAATTCTACATATATTCTGAGTAGATAACCGATAGTATATTCTCGATGAAGAGTTTCACCCTGTGTTCCCACAATTAATGAGGATAGTTTGGGGAAAACAAGAAATCTTTTTTACCAATTCATGTGAATACAATATATCTTATACATACAATAGATCATAGCTATCGTAGAAAAAGTAAGATCATGCTTTGAATGAAGATAAGTAAAATTAAATATTCACTCGGGACAAACTTTACTTATGCTGCGTCTTGGGCCACAGAGGCCCATCGCGTCTCTGAAAATGTGTGATGATTTTCTAAATGATACAACTTAATCTAAATAAGAGAAATGTAGAGTCCTGGGATTTTTATAAAACAACAACAACAACAAAAACATTGTGTCAAATTCTGAGAACATGTTTCATGTCACATGGACAAAAATACTGTTTGAAATAAGATCTAAGACGCAAAAGCACAGTTCTTGATTTATAACATTTTATTTTATTTTATTTTGAATAAACGCCGTTTAGTAAAAACAGTACCTTAGGTTAAATTAATGCATATCATACAGAAGTCTTCTAAGAAGGTAAATATAAGATACTATTTTAATAAAATCTTTAAAAATTTAAGTTAAACAGTCTTTTAATTTTAAAATATTCTATTTAAACTTTTATTATTATGCTTTTAAATGAAATAGTATGAATAAAACTCCAAATAAAATAAAGCAGACTAGCTTTACTGTGACATTATCCCCCAGAGGCTCATCCTCTGTGAGGAGGATGTGAAGCTTCATCTCACACTGTATATTATCCCAACTTAAACTTGGTTTGTGATAAATTTGTTTTTGTTTTTTGTTGTTTTTTATAGTTTATTTATCAATACTTATGTGATATATATATATATATATATATATATATATATATATATATATATATATATAAATTTAGCTAAAAACTATGTTTAAATACATTTTAGTAACAAGTTATAAACTTTATTTATAATCATTTCATTTAAAAATAGAGATTAGTTAGTTTTATGGAACCGACTTAGTGTGTGTTTGTGGATGCAAAACAGCTTAGAAATTATATTAAATTATTTATTTATTTTTATTTTCTTATTTTGGGAATGTGAAAAGGCAGTTTTCTGTGACGGTTGTGTTTTAGGTGTACAGGATAGAATGCTGTTACAGTACAAAAATCATTAGGGCTATGGCTATATTGATAAAAATTATACTCTAGGTTACGTTAAAAAATCATAAGTTTATCTTCTGAAAGATAAAAAGATAAATCTTCTGAAAGATACAAATGTGTTAAAACCTTTCATTTTAAAATATCATATTTAAACTTTTATGATTATGCTTTGAAATAAATTTAGTACGAACAAAAAGCTCTGGAAAGGCATTTGCAGACTAACACTACACGATGCACAGAGGCTCATCTGCTCTGTCACCCTATATCCTGAAGCTATCGTAAATGATTGTTAAGTAACTTCTTTCTCACAAGATGCACTGGCGATCGGAAGGGCCTTATAAGCAGCCTATATCAATGGGGTCGGCCTGAGGCATCACAGACTCTAAATGTCTTCATTGTCCCCCTCTCTCTGAAGATAGACAGGTCTATGTGGCAAATTTCTTACAGATAAAACTTAAGTATATATTGAACATGTATATTCACATGTGTGTGATGACGTATGAGATGACCAAATTTCAAAGTTCTTCAAAGTTCTTTAAATGCACCCTGATAAATAAAAGATATACTTTAAGTTCAAGTCAAGTTTTTACACAGACCCCCAAAACAACCTGCTATTTCACATTGTCTATTGTGTATTTTAACAAATTAGATTTTCAGGGTAAATCAGGGAAAAATTTGATTTTCAGGGTTAACATCGTGCTGCCTATCTTTTGCGATAAAAATATGTTGTACTATCTGCAGGCGTTGGAAATGTAACAATGACTAATTCATGGATCACAGCCACATGATTTTTAATGATTTAATTTATGCTTTTTACTACGATATGGAATTAACACTAATCGAACACGTCTCGTTCTGATCCCGCACACACACACACACACACACACACACACACACACACACACACACACACACACACACACACACACACACACACACACACACACACACACACACACACACACACACACATACACACACACACATCCACACACACACACACACACACACAAGCATGTTAAACGGGAGTGTGTGAGGAACGCTTGAGGAAGACTGTCAGGATCTTACATTCACAATATTAAACACAACCCATTCATTAATTGTATTTGGACATGTATGGACTTCTTCAAATCTCTAAAACATGTAAGATAAGTTTGTTTATTGCTTAATTAATTGGTTCAGTAAGATATTTATCGTATATCATTTATTTTATAAGCATTTCAGTTATATACTTTTAAAAACAGGGTGTTTTTTCCAACTTCAGTGTAAAACATATGATATTCTCACTTTCACATTGGGGATATTTTGTATTACAACTTATTTTGCACACCCATTCATGTATGTATGCATGTATTGCATATGAAAAATGTAAGATGAGTTTATTTTTTGTTTAAAATAATTGGATCTGTAGATGTTTAGAAAGACATTAGATATTTTCAAACCATTTAATTCATATCATAGAATGTTTATCAACTGTGAAATAGTATATATTATATTTATACCATTTTAAAGAATGTTTTTCCAAACTAGTTAGTATGAAATATCTGCAACTGACTAAATGTAAATAACCATTTCATTTATACAATTTTATTGAATGTTTTTAAACTTTAGTGTAAGACTTATGATATTCTCACTTTCTCCTTCCCCACCAATCCCCCTCTCCTCTGGAATGTGGTGGGACGAACCCGTTCAAACATAAAACCTTACATCATATCAATGTTTCCCTTATAATCACAAGGACCAGAGATCCCCTTCGAACATAAATCTTACATCATATCAATGATTCCCTTATAATCACGAGGACTGACGCATGCCACGCCTATTATTCAATTACACGACAGGTCATATGACACAAGGTCACCACAGGTCAAGGTCACCCAAGGACGCAGGGAGGAGGGGCCGGGTCAAACACAGGGCACGGGGAGGGGGCGGGTCAAAGGTTAATGGGTTATTTAAAAACCCATTAATCATTTTGACACATAGTCCATCATATCACTACTAACGTGGTGGTCTAAACTTTCTTGATTTTACAACCCTCAATTATACTTTTAAAATAAATTGGATAAAGCATTTTCTAAAAAATCCTACATCTACCTGGAATTTTATTCCTAATTTTATTTTTTCTAAGGTTGGATGGTCTAGAATTTTTACTTTTATGTGATTATAAAATAGAAAAAATTCCCCTAATTTTATCGAAATTCCATAAACAAATGCTCTTAGCATGGTCATTAATCTACAAACATAATTTCTCCCCACATAGGTGCTTCATCTGGAATAATCAGCTTATTAAATTCAAAAATAAATCCTTATTTTATAAAACTTGGTTTAATAATAACATTTTTCTAGTATCCCAACTATTAAATGATAATGGTTTATTGCTAAATTATTCTGAATTCCTTCGCATTTTTGGCATTCCGATCACCCCAAGAGAGTTCGCAATTGTTATGGATGCCATCCCTTCTGGTATCTTAACTCTCTTAAAAAGGTCTGGAAAGCCTGTTTGCCTACCAGCTTTGGACCCAAAGTTAACCTCAGTTGGTAATATTTGTTTCGCAATCACAACGAGGAATAATAATAGGAATATTCGCTCTTTATTCCAGAGAGATGTCACATGCATCCCTAACGTTGTTCCCTATTGGATTAACTTTGCTGATAACCTGAATTGGGGGATTATTTGGACCCTTCCTTACAAATACCTCCTTACGAATAAAGTAAGAGAAATCACTTTCAAAATGATACATAGGTATTATCCTGCTAAGCAATATCTTCTAAGGTTTAAGCTTGACATTTGTGTTGACTGCTCTTTATGTGGTCTAGTTCCTGAAACAATGATACACCTGTTCTGGCAATGTCCCTACACCATCAGTTTCTGGAAAGATCTGTCTCAATATATTTCTATTAAACTCATTGCTGATTTTTCTTTGTTATGGAGGGATGTGCTGTTTGGTCTCCATGCTGACAAAGGTAAAAAACAAAAAGAAATATACTTAATTAATCTATTGCTAATTTTAGGGAAATATCATATTCGCAAAGCCAAATTTAGTAATTCAAAACCTTCCTTTATTGTTTTTGGTAGGGAGACGGAACAGTATATCAAATCCATTTATGATTCACAAAATAAGAAGGCTGCTAAAACCATTCAGTTATGCTCTATCTTTAATGTATTTATTTGAAGCTTCCCCTGGCTCTGTTTTTGTTTAATATTGTGTTTTCTGTATTAATGACTTTATTTGTGTCTTACTGTTTGTATTGTTAAGATTTAATAAAAAAAATAATAAATAATAATATATATATAGTGTCTCTGATCTATTCCTACAGTAGATGGCGGTAATGCTCTTTTTAAGAATGCGAATCGCCAATAAGCTCAAAGAAGAAGAAGAAAAAGAAGAAGAAGAAGAAAACGTCATCTTTATGCGCAACGAAGTCGGAACTTGGTTTGAACCTGAACCGATTTTTAAAAATGGTTTATCAGACATGCAACAAAGGTACAATGCGGTAGATTTGTGCGTGGTCATCTTCATTGTACGTTTGTGTAAGTAAAAACAGTTTAGAAGTAGGAAGAGTTTAATAGTAGGCTTATCAATATTAGAAGTGTCTTATTAAGAGCGTCTCCTTGGTAGTGTAAAGCGATTTTTTTTTTATTTCAGTAAACAAAGGAAGCGATAAGTTAAAGGTAAGGTAAGAATGTGTAACTGTGACTAGTCACTCAATTCGATCTAATTGGTTCTGAAACTTGACAGATTTCTTATGACTTTTAACTTACAGTTATAGCAATATGGTAGACACGGAGAAGATTCCCCCAGGAGTTAATGCCGCCTGTGCAAACCTCAGCGTGAAGAAAGAGAACGAGAAAAAGAAGAGATCTCGCGTGAAACAGCTACTAGCTGATGTGAAGAAGCAGGTGGAATTTTGGTTTAGTGATGTGAATCTCCACAAGGACAAATTCATGAAAAATATAATTGAACAGTCACGAGATGGATGTATGTATCAGTGTTATGCTCATACCTCATGATACACTATACATACTGAATGTGTGTGTATTCACTTAACTCTTTCTTTCGTTTGTAACAGATATTGACATATCTGTGTTAACGTCATTCAACCGAATGAAAAAATTTACTACGGATGTAAAATTGATTGCCAGAGCTCTTAAAAATTCACCAGTAGTAGAGGTATTGTATGCATTTGAATTTTCTTTTCTTTTATCAGAGGGATTTTAGTTCTGAGTTTTGCACTAATAATCACAGTAACTGATGTGTCCTTAGGTAAATCTTGAAGGAACACATGTACGACGAAAGGATCCACTTGGTGAAAGCCCAAAAGATGTGGACAGCCGTACAGTTTATGTGGTAATTGACTGCAAATTAATTTAATTGTTTTTATTGTATGCCTTTTCAATTCAATTTCAATGCCTTTTATTTCAATATATTCCTTAATCTGGAATTGTTATGTTTCAGGAGCTGTTGCCAAAGATGGTCACTCATGTTTGGCTGGAGCGAGTGTTTAGTAAGTGTGGAAATGTGGTTTATGTTAGTATCCCCAGGTACAAGTCCACAGGACATTCCAAAGGGTTTGGATTTGTGGAGTTTGAGACAGAAGAACAAGCGCAGAAAGCTATTGAGGTAACCAATGTTATTTTTAATTGTACTAAGTTGTTAGTATTCACATTGCATACAGTATGATTATTGACACAAATGTCACGCAAAAATGATACATTATAAATGAATACACTGAGGTTATGTATTAATAAAAAAATAGATGCCTACTTAAATAAAAAAAAGGTTTAACAGTCTTAAAACTGTCTCAAAACATATAAAATAAATTATTTGCTAAAATGATGACAAAACTGAGAAATTAGAAACGTACAAGCAAGGCTTCAACAATGAGACTTAGGCCTATCCTCCTGGGACCCAGGAATAGACTTTTGTCCAATGTAGTGGACATTATATTTTAGTGTATTTCTCTGACACCATGCATGTCACATTTTTTTTTTCTGGATGTCCTGTAAAGAGCACATTCAGGGCAATAGAGAGATACCAAATGTTTGGAGGTTTCACCATGAAAACAACTTCTCCATGGTCTTCTTTAAAAATGTCTAACATTCATTTAAGTGATCAAATGTAGCACTCTTATGGAAATATGATAATATATTGTAATTATAATTTAAATCTAACTACTTTTCAAGTTGTATTTCATCAACCAACATCTCATGAAAATGTTATGGGGTTTCAAATGAAAAAATGACTTTCTGTTACAGGGCATTGATTTCATTCATGTGTAGAGAACATTAGGAAATAACGGGGGCAAAAAAAAAGCATTATACTCACCAAAATACTTATTTTTTTCACACAAAATCCATCCTAATATCTTTCCTCAAAAACACTTAAATGACTCTGTACAGGTTATTTGTGCGTTTCAGTCCCAACAACCTTTTCTGTCGCCATCGAGGTTAATGATGAAAGTTGAGTCTGTCCCGTTGTGTTTCTGGCATAAGTTTTAATTCACTTTAGGGCTGAGAGTGTCTGCTCAACAGAAGCAGTGGACAACAGGGACAGTCATCGCAAAACATGATGATGTGTACAGCTGACCCATGCTCTTATGCAGAATTTCGAAGATCAATGAACTCAATGAATCAATGAACATTTATAGAGCGCTTTTAACAATGTAGATTGTTTCAAAGCAGCTTTACAGAGATAAACACATAATTTTAGGTAACCGAGATTGGTTTGGTTTTATAGCGGTTCTTGAATAATGTTATTTTCCAGCTAAAGTTAGTTTTGATTGATTCACTTCCGTCGAAATGATCATTTGTTATTAAAGAGATAATTCACTTTTGAAATTAATTTTTGATATGTTTTAGCTTACCTCAAGGGCATCCAAGATGTTGGTGTCTTTGTTTCCACAGTATTTTCAATTTTGATATTTTTCGGTCAAACCGTTGTTGTCCATCAGTCATACACTGGAGGTTTAGGGGGTCCACCCTTGGTTCACCTCAAAGAGCATGCACAGAGAAGTCAAAACATGATTGAATGACTTGTAAATGTAAGTACACATTGATGGCCTAAGACACGAAACGAGCGGTTTGTGTGCGAAAACCAACAGTATTTATATCGTTTTGTCAAACTGTTCTGACGGCACGGGCGCTTTAGTCTGCGCATACGCAGGAAGTGATCGCTTGCGCGCCTATGTCACTCTTTGTTTATACAGAGATTTCGGAAGTTTTACCTTTCACTAAACATATTTAGATATACCGAAATCGTCTTCCATTGCGATTTCCTGTATATCTAAATATGTTTGGTAAAAGTTAAAACTTCCAATATCTCCGTGTAAATATTGAGTGACGTACACACACAAGCGATCACTTCCGGCGGAACATTGAACATGATTCAGTTCGGTTCAGTTGGACATTGCACAACTGATTCAGATCACTTGGACGTCACTGTGATTACACAAGGTAAAAACGATATAAATACTGTTCGTTTTCTCACACAAACCGCTCGTTTCGTGTCTTAAATGAATGTGTCAATTTTCACAATGTGTACTTACATTTACGAGTCATTAAATCATGTTTAATTTGGACTTCTCTGTGCATGCTCTTTGACGTGGACCCCCTATACCTGCATTATATGACTGGCAGACAACAACGGTTTGACTGAAAAATGCTAGTTGGCACTTCAGCACTGCGTTGTCATCGGGTCCAGGCGAAGGTCTTTTGTCAGATCCTGAAATGGCCTGGATCCAGCAGGCTGTGGGAAAACCTTGGGTTAAACAAAGACGCTAAAATGAGCGTAGATGCCATTCTTCTTATGATGTAACGAGTACATCAGGATTTAAAGGGTCACTCCACCTCTGGAAAGATGAATGTGTACTTAAAATGGGTAATTTATGTAGAAGAAATGTGAAATTATTTTTGAATTTGGAGCTTTCTAGACTGAGAAAAGACAGAAAATGTATTTTTGGCTTATGTGGATGAAAGACAATAACTCCCAGAATGTACTTGCTTCGCTGTCCTAGGAGGCCACGCCTACCAGTAACCACGCAGTAGGTAAATTACAGTCTAAGCTAGGGAGTCTCCGTGATGAATCTGCCTGAAAATGTGTTTCGAAATCGCCCAAAATGTCCGGGATTCGGCTTTTTGGTTCTGCAGTCCTCATTCATCGTGTTTACTGTGGCGAGCAGGACGAGTGAAGGCCGCGGGAGAACGCCGCGAGTCATGTTTACTGTGGCGAGCGGGACGAGTGAGGGCCGTGTGGAGAATGGCGCGAGTCATGTATACTATTGCGAGCAGGACGAGTGAGGGCCGTGTGGAGAATGGCGTGAGGCCGGTGGCGTGATTACTGATGAGTGGCACCTGTGAGACGTAAGTTACCGGTCTCGTATCTCTCACGGAGGAGCGGGAATTTTCTTAGCAATGTTAAAACACACATCAACCGATCACTTGTTTAGCGTTCATGTAAACAATACATTCAGATTCAGCAATCAGAATGAATTCAGTTAGATTGAAACAAAAGCTGTAACTTACATGTAAACAATGCTTGGCGACTGCAGAAAGCAAAAGCTGAATCCCGGACATGTCCGGGAAAAAGAGGACGGTAACCCCTAAAGCTACTACTCAGCTTTCTCCACAGAATAAGAGCATACTAGCTTGGCTTCCAAAAAAGATGTGTAGTCCCAATCCTCCATAATGCATCCGTCTGCATATTCAGTACCTCTGTCCATATTTTCAAAACATTTCTGCCGGTGAAATCAAACGCACTAGCACTGATCTGTGATAGGTCTGTTAGCGCATTAGGTCCAACCCCCTATGGGTGGGTTTGAAAGCGTGAGATCTAGTGCTTGTAGTCTTTACTGAAATCCCCCTCTCTTACACTTCCTCCTACAATGACGTAAATAGACGATTTTTGCGTCATTGTAGGAGGAAGTGAAAAAGGTAAATAGCAGATTTCTCTCGTCTCAGGGGAAAATAAGAGGGTGTTGCACGACCATTCAATAGTATAACTGGGTTTCTAACAATGGAAAGCATAAAACGAATGGGTGGAGTGTCCCTTTAAGGGAAGTGTTCCCAGTTCCGGCTGACCTAATCTATGCAGCCTAACATTATAGAAGTCGATAATGTATTCTGTGAATGCTAGGTCAAAGAGATTTTTTTAGTCTAGCTTTGAACTAACAGACGTCTGCTTCCCGGACAATGGTAGGAAGACTGTTCCAATGTTTTGGTGCTAAATTGACAGATTTCAGTGATGACATACATTACAGTTATATTTTCTGTTATTACACGGACAGATCGAATAGAGTTCTGTGACTTTGCGTTAAGCTGGATGGCTGAATAAGGGATTTTTTCCGGTACGTTTGAACCTGGAGTCTTGGGTTGAAAAACTATTAAATCTGCAGGAATATATTTTAGTTTATGCAGTTCGCTACAGATGTGGTTAGCTAGCTCAGCCTCTGACTACCAGGAATAGTACGCGCTCTAACCATCCAATCAAAGGACTTGAAAATGCTGATGTTATTGTACGCCTGCCTGATCTGATCTCAGATAGATTGGCTAAAGCAACAGTTTCATTGCCATTTATTTTTAAGCTACAGGTGCCCGCACTATTGATTCTGAAGGCCTCCAGGCAGATTTCTTTTTCAATGGCAACACATGATAGCTGAAATATAATTGGTTAAAAACTCTAAAATAAACATACACTACTGGAAGCAGCACAACCAAGAGAAAAGCTATGAAATCAAGAGAATGGACTATTGGGAATAATTTAATACTCAAATGAATAATATATTAAAGTGCAAGTCAGTAATTCTGAAATTGTTTAGGCCAGCAGAGAAGGCTCACCACTGGATTGTACTCTAGGGATTATACAAACAGAAAAAGTTTTAATAATACAGTATACAGCAATACAATGCTGTACAATGGACTTTATGCACAGCTGCACTACTTCCTGAACTTAAGCAAGCTCCTTGTTTCCTGTCTGCCATTATTGGACAAATTGATTGATTCAAGTGTGCCTGACCTCAGTAGTCACGGCAACAACAATCAGACACACCTGAATTAATCAAGCTTAGTCAATAATGGCTGGCTTAAGTTCAGGAAGTAGTGCAGCTGTGCATAAAGCCAATTCTAATGAACGGTGTGATTCACTTGAAATGACAGATGCTGAACAATCCTCCAGAAGATGCTCCAAGTAAGCCAGGAATCTTCCCTAAGACTTGTAAGAAAAAGACTATCCCCTTTGATGCTGCCCAGGATATACAAGGTAGCACATTGCTATGCCTTATGTACTGTGAATATATGTAATCCTCAAGATTACAGCATAACATGAATGAGAACTGTTAGTGTCTTTCTGCCATCACAATCTAAGTGATCCAGATATTAGCAACACACTTTATGTTTTACTTTTAGATGATGAAGAGGATGGCAAGAAAAAGAAGAGAAAAAAAAGGTCTCGAAGTGAGCTTAAAAACAGTGCTGTTCAAGAAATAGCAGTAAATAAGATGGAGAGTGGAGCGTTCAACACTGCGTGCCGAACCGAAGAACCGAAGAAACAATCAGCAGATGAATCTAAAATGGAAAACCCCGTAATACTGACGAGCACAGCAAATAAGAAAACTCAGAAGAAAAGACAAAGATCCTGCAGTTTTGAGGCATCAACTGGAGATGGACAAGATGAGATGCCATCCAAAATGAGAAAAGTAGAAGAGGAAAATGAGGAGGGAGAGATGAAAGGTAGATGTTTTGGCTTATTTGAGAGATTTTTTGGAGGGGGTCACCTCATGAGGTTATGGTGATAACCATATGTGTCGTGGCAAAAAGAATAATTAAAGTAGAAGTCCGATGCAAAATGGTACCCGCGGGTCTTAAAAGCCTTGAAAAAGTCTTGAATTTGATCATTTCAAATTAAGGCCTTAAAAGCCTTGAATTTAGTGTACAAAGTCTTGGATTTCATTACAAAGGTCTTGTATATATTTTTTTGCCTGTCCTAGGATTAAGTTCATACCTTAACAAAATTAACTGTTACTAATGTAGGCTAATTCAAAATGTATGCAGCCTTGAGTGCCCCTCGCGCTCCACGTTATAGCAGAAAAAGCGATCGCGTGCGCACCCATTACTATGGTTACTAGGCAAGTGAGGTACAGAACAAGATAGTACCAAGCCTAGTTTAATCCGCTATGGCCACAAATGACAGAATTTAAACCCTAAATAAGAGCTTTTCTGTTAAAAGAACATTTTCTACCCGTTTTTTTCCCCCCCAATAGTATCTGGCAACCATGCGCGCGGTCTCGCTACACTGCTGAAGAAGTGCGGATTATCTGAAAGCACAGACAAGTTGGAGTACAGCGATCTTAGATTTTCGAAGATCGAAGATTTTCCACTTAAAGTGTCATTCAGTCGGTCTGTGTTCTGTAACGAGCCGTTTGCGCTGTTTGTGCGGCTAAATCTGCGATCAAATGCAGGCTGAAATCCAGCAGTGTTCATACGAGCAAGAATGCAATGTTTCCTGAATATCCACACAATTTCAAATGTGACATTGATTTTAAACAACAGTAAAAAAAATAGATAAATGGTAACATTAATGTACATGTACTACATTTAAAACAGCATTGTCGGGCTTGCTCTATAATGAAATATGTGGCTTTGAACGAATCGTGAGATTTAATGAAAGAATGACTCAAAGACCCACTCATAAAGAGTTATCGCCACTTAATGGTGATTTTAATGTTTTTTTTAACATTGCATATTTAATGAACATTGTTTTATTTAAAGCATTATTTTTTTTTTTAAAGGTATTATAAATTTAAAGAGTGCAGTCTAAGTGGAAGAGAGAGGGCTATAGGGGGTACGGCACTCTAAAACAGTGGTTCTCAAACTTTTTAGCCAGCGACCCCTAAACTAACATCAAGGAGATCTTGCGACCCACACAGCATACACAAACAATAAACAAACAAAAAAGTGGTTTTAAATCCACTTCCTATGGACCTTGAATAAAACATAAAAAAGGTATCATGCAATTCTTATAACTTTCACTGCAAGTTTATTTTCCACAATTATGAGGAAACAAGTCAGAATGTACACTCAATTTGTAGATAAAAAAAAATCGCAATTATCAAATGTTTTCTTATGTGGCTGAAATTTGTGCTTCCATAACTTCAACTTTACTGTACCTTTCAGTGGGATGGGTGCACTTGTTTTTCGGTGCACAAAAGATTAATCTGTGGCCTGATGTTGGATACGGCTACTCGCAGATCGTCCTCAACATCAAGACGTGATCTGTATTTATTTTTCATGTATGTGACAGCGGAAAAACTCTTCTCGCACAAATACGTAGATCCAAACGGAAGCAGTACATCCATAGCCACATCGGATAACTCTCTGTATTCTTCTGCCACTGCGATCCAAAATTCAGGTAGTGTGGAATTGGAAAATAAAGTTTTTAATGTCCGATCACTGGACAGCTCCAGCAAAGCATCTTCCAGTTTTGTGGGGAGATTAGTCCTAGTTTCAGTGAATGGTTGTCGTATCCAGTCATGCAGTTCTGGTTGCGTCTCTTTTGGAAAATACTTCTGGAATTGTTCCAAAAGGCAGTGGAGATGACCAGTGATGTGTGTTTTCAAGTTCCCGAGACTCAGTCCATTCTCCTCCAGACGTTCATCCAGCTCAGGAAACATCTCCACATTACCTTGTTCAACTCGCTCAGCCCACCTTTCCAGCTTTTTCACAAATGCATCAATTTTCTCATTCATTGTCAAGATGTTTGTGTTTGGACCTTGTAATGAAAGATTAAGCATGTTAAGCCTTTCAAATATACAGGCCAAATAAGCAAGTTTTGATAACCAATCTGGATCTTTCAGGTGGTGCGCGAATTCAGATTTAGATTCTTTCAACAACGAGTGCACTTCGTCACGCAGTTCGTAAAGCCGGCCGAGTGCCTTCCCGCGAGATAACCACCGGACTTCGGTATGAAACAGTAGCGCTTCGTGCTGCGAGCCCATCTCATTGCAAAGGGTGGCTAGCAGTCTACTGGTTACTGGACGTGACTTTATGTGATTTACAATTTTTATTGCACTTTTGAGAACACTGTTAAGCTCACTGTCAAGTGCTTTGCTAGCAAGAGACTCACGGTGAATGATGCAGTGCGTAAACTTAACATGAGGAGCCACTTCTAAAACCTTTGCCTTCAGTCCCTTATTTTTACCTACCATTGCACCTGCACCATCAGTACATACGCCAACACAGTTATCCCATGAAAGTCGCATCTCTTTTAGTCTGGTGTCCAGCTTGTTGAAAATGTCACTGCCCGTACAAGTCCCCTCCAGCACTGAGCAGAAAAGCATTTCCTCGTGCAGTTTTCCATCAAATGTGTATCTGATGAATGCCAGCAACTGAGCAGAATTAGACACATCTGTAGATTCGTCGAGCTGTAACGCATATTTCTTTCCATTTAACCTATTAATCAATTGACTCTTTAAGAAAGCATCTGTTCATAGCTTGGTTGATCCTAAATCAGCATACTATCACCTGAAAAATATTGCAAGAATTAGATGCTTTGTTTCCAGTCAAGACTTAGAGAAACGTGTGCATGCTTTCACCAGCAGGGTGGATTATTGTAATGGCCTCCTCATTGGCCTTCCTAAAAAGACCAGACAGTTGCAGCTCATACAGAACGCTGCTGCCAGAATTCTGAGCAGGACAGAAAATGTGAACATATCACACCAGTCCTCAGGTCTTTACATTGGCTCCCAGTTACATTTAGGATTGATTTTAAAGTATAATTACTAGTATATAAATCATTCAATGGCCTAGGACCTCAATATATTGCAGATATGCTCACTGAATATAAACCAAACAGACTCTCAGATCTTTAGGATCACCATCAGCTAGAAATACCATGGGTTCACTCTAAGCATGGCGAGTCTTCTTTTAACTATAATGCCAGTCGCAGCTAGAATCAGCTTTCAGAAGAGATCAGGTGTGCTCCTACAGTAGTCACATTCAAATCCAGACTCAAAATTCTTCTGTTTAGCTATGCATTTACTGAATGAGCACTGTGCCACTGTTCGTTCGACTGTTACTGCATTTTATTTAATTTTCTTATTCTAAACTGTTTTAATTATTTACTGTATTTAATTTTTTTATTCTAAATTGTTTTAATTATTCTGATTTCTTTTGATTATTTTAATTGCTTCTATGTAAAGCACTTTGAATTACCATTGTGTATGAAATGTGCTATATAAATAAACTTGCCTTGCCTAGCGATGTGGATATATTTGCATGAGCTCTGCAATTTGGGACCCCGGTAAAATCATGTTTATTTATACCACTTGTTACAATATATTGCATTAAAGCCATGCATATCATAACTGTTATCTATAGGCCTACTTTAATTGAGACATTTATTCTAGAAATTTATTAAACTCAATTTCTCTGTTCTGTACATCTTTTTATGTTGGAGCGGGATTTTAGTGAAATTCATTTTACTGATGAGCATGAGTGGAGTGCTTGCTTGGGATGTGAGCGATTGAGCGGAGTGCATTGGTATAGAGCGGCGTATTTAGCAGAGTGTCACACCACTCCGCTACACTCACATCACTCTCTCTGGTGTTACTTATTGTAATACATGTTCTTTTGCTGCATAGATTTATCATCTGAGAGCAAGAATGAAGAACAGTTAGACTATGAGAAGAAAGATGATTCTGTTTTGAAGGCCAAGAGGAAGAGAAAGAAGAAGCTCAAGGATAGATTGAAAATAGGGGAAGAGGTCAACCCGCTTAGAGTCCTCTCAAAGTAAGCAACAATGTGTTCCTTTTTAAAATAAATTTTTTATGATTCTCATAAAGATTCATTAAAAAAGTCTATAATTTGAGTGAGATGTTAAAGTGGATTTAGTCAAACTGTTATCTACATGCTCATGAGGGATTTGTTCTGTTCAGGAAAGAGTGGTTGGACCTGAAGCAGGAGTATCTGACACTGCAGAAGCACTGCATGGCCCATCTGAAGCAGTCAGTCTCTCAGATCAACCTGACGTCGGTGAATTGTGACATTGCACAGACTAAAGATAAAAACAATGCTTGTAAGTTAATTTTGTTGGTACATCTTTTCTGTCAATAAATCTTGCCATTTATTTACCTATTTATTTGCTTCCCAAAGCTTGTAAGGATACAACTAAGAAAGAGCCCTCTTCTGGCCCCAAGTTTGTCAGTGGAGTCATTGTCAAGATTAACTATAACCAGCCCCTGCCAAGCAAGAGGTACATCAAGGTACAGTGATAAATTATTTTAACTTATCTTGTCGATTTAGCTCAAAGGGAATTATTAATTCTTAATTAGTTACTTTATTTGTATATGTCCCCAAAGGGCAATTAATTTTACAGCAAGACAGCATACAAAAGGACAATTTAAAAAATTTCAGTAAAAGTTAAAAGGTACCTTTACAAATTAACACTAAAATAAACACACACACAGTACCCACGCAAAACCCAACCAACTATACTTCCTTCCACCTGCTCCCCCCATACCCAAATTTAACACAGAAATGGAAGGAGGAATAAATGAATGTTTATACCTCTTACTTCTAACCGAGGGAAATCTCAGTCGAGATCCTGAGGGTAGAAACTGAAACTCAGAATAGAGAGGATGTGAAGTGTTGGAAACCTTTTTCTTCTAAAGTGTAGGAACTCAGAAGCAAAGACCAGGAGACTTGGTTGTATCTTCAGCAAGATTCTTTATTGAGAAACACGAGCTGTTGTTGGCTCCAGTTCACTTCGTGTATACAAACAGGAGCCATCTTAAAAAATAGTCTCTAAGTCAAACCACGAACGTCGTGCTGAGTGATCTGAACTGTATGAAGTTCAGCGAACTTCTGAACTGTATGAACGGCATTCGGGGATCAACTTATCGAGACTATTTTTTAAGATGGCTCCTGTCTGTATACGCGAAGTGAACTGTCTTAATAATGTATCTTCTTATTAAACGGTCTGTACACTTACAAAGTTCTCAATGCTTCGTTTTGCATGTATGGGGCCTCATTATGTTACTGTGTTAGTGTGGGGCCATTTTGAGCCTTGTTAGTGGTATAAACTAGCGATTTCTTTTTACTTAGTCAATGCCCCCATTACTAGCATTATACGCTAAACAGTTTTTAGTAGGGCTGTGAATCTTTGGGTAGACAGCGAATCGATTCGATTCACGATTCATAGGTTTTCGATTCGATTCATGAACGATTTGTGCAAATTCAGAACGATTCGATTCGATGTGATTCACATCCAAATTCGATGCGATTCGATTCTTAATTTTTTATATGCATTATAGTATTATTTCAATGCTTCACCCAATGGGTCTTTGTCTGGGTTTGAATTAGCCTACACAGCGGCCTTCGGGGGTCAGATAGTGGGGATTTTGTCCATTGTTAATGTTAGTTCATGTTTGTTTTTAATTTTAATGAATATATTATTATAAAAAAAAAATTCAATGGCCTACAAATTAGCATTTGCAAGTAGCAAATATTTTGAAAAAGGATTTTAAAGTATTGCATTCAATGACTACATGCACAAATTAATGGAGACGTTTTCATTAGTTTCATTTTGCGTCCTCTCAGTGCACTCGTTATCATCTTTTCACTGGATTTTGCTCGCGCTCGGTCCCATAGCTCTCATGCTTTCATAACGTTAACTACAGATTTTTGAGCAGTCCATGTTTGAGCTCGATCTCCAGCTGAGCTCTCTGTCGAGAAAGCAATAGTTTTGAGGCAAACCGCTCAAGCCATTGATAAAGCTGCCATGCCATTGCGTGGGCACTATGAAATAAAACGCGTTTATTCATTTATTACATGGACTCTCCGTACACGCAAGGTGGTCTCTCGCTCGCTTTCCCTCTCTGCCGAGTGCGTGCAGCCGTGTGTGAACGCGCGATACGCGGTTTGGAGCACAACCTCTGTCTCGTATGCACGCTCGCTCTAGATTCCGGGAGATTTTAACTAATTTGCGGTAATACAAGCTGATCACGACATGAGTAGCTCAACAGGTAGAAAGATAAACTCATCTTTCAGGCATTTGACCGACCGGGCTTCAGCGTGAGAAATCAGGGGTGTGTGAGCGCCTGAAACCAATCAAATGCGGATGTCGTATGACGGCCAATGCGTGAGGCAGCTTGTACCAGGAACACTTTAAGGTTGTGTTTATATATTTTAAACCACTGAATCGCTATAAAATCGTGATTAATTCGATTCTTAGCCTTTTAAATCGATTATTCACGTAAATAAACGATTCACGATTCAAAATACATGTTTCAGGATCGATGCATATGCATCGCCAGGATTTATAATCGATGCATCGAGAAAACGAGTGAATCGTTACATCCCTAGTTTTTAGAGATAAAACTCTTTACATTCGATTATCATGAAAACAAAACTCAGAGAACGATTGACTAGGTACCGATGTTTTATTAGACCAAAGGTTCATTGTTCGCCGGAGTTTATTTTATTTTATTTATTTATTTATTTATTTGACAGGGACAATGCAAACAAACATAGTGTCAAGATCAAGCATGTCACTGAAGTGTTGCATATAAAGTTTATAGCTATAGCTAATTTTGGAAGGGCTTTTATACACAATAAAATTTACATGATTAGCTACTTCAATTATATAAAATAATAATAATAATAATAATAAAAAATAATACTAATAATAAAAATACTAATAAGCATACATACATATCATATACAACTCAAATAATTAAATGTAGTTAAAAATGAGTACAGTTTTGGTTTATTTTTAACCAATTTTTCAGCCTGGAAATGAACATCTTAAAGTCTGATACAGTCTTGACTTCAAAAGGTAAAGAGTTCCAGAGTTTAGAACTCTTTACAGAGAAGGTTGTCTGTCCAAAACTGGTCCTGCAGTATGATATTTTACAGTCAAGATTTGTGGAACTCCTAGTGACTCGGATGTTGTCCTGTCTCACAATAAATGTACTTAGTGGCTCAGGTGCTAGATTATTAATGCACTTATAAATTAGTTTAAGAAACGAAAATTTCATAAAACTATCAAAATTCATTAAATTATATTTCTTAAAGATGCTGCAATGATGATAACTTAATGGTTTTTTATCCAAAAGTTTTATTGCTCTTTTATATAAAGATTTTTTACGCGTTTGATTGCAGTGGGAGCTGCTTGTGCCCATGATGTCATGCAATATGATATGTGAGAAAATATCATAGCATGTATGTACATTAAGGCTGCCTGGCTTGGAATGTAGCTTCTAATTAATTTAAGACAATTGAGATTACTTTGTAATGTTTTCTGGATTTTCTTTATATGTTTTTCAAATTTAAGTTGATCTAAGACTAATCCTAAATATTTAAATTCTGTAACTGTATGAATTTCTTTATTTTGTAACTTAATATTAAATATTCCTTTTATTTCTATTTTTTTAATGGAAAAGCACATGGAAACTGTTTTCGAGAAATTTAAAACTAATTGATTTTGAATGAGCCACTGTTGAATGTCAGACATACTAGTGGACAGTATAGCTGCAGCCTGCTCAGGTGACTTGGCGGGTACATAAAGAACTGCATCATCCGCATAGAGCTGACAACTGGCACCTGAGCAGTGCAGAGGTAGATCATTTATAAAAAGACTAAAAAGCAAAGGGCCAAGTATAGAGCCCTGCGGGATGCCCATTTTCATATTTGAAAGTGCAGATACGTTTTGATCAACCTTGACACACTGCACTCTAGAGCGAAGATAGGATGCAAACCACAACACAGCTTCATTTGAGAAATTAAAATGTAACATTTTGGATAAAAGCAAACTATGATTGACCGTATCAAAAGCTTTTGTAAGGTCGATAAATACGGCTCCTACCACATTACCTTTGTCCAGGGACTTTTTTACATTTTCGATTAAACAGCAGTTTGCTATTTCTGTCGAGTAACCAGGTCTAAACCCGAACTGGTAACAATGGAGGAGCTGTTTTGCTTCTAAATGGTCCATCAGTTGCACTACTACTACTTTTTCAATTATTTTGGATAAAACTGGTAAAATCGATATAGGGCGATAATTGCTTATAGAGTTTTGGCTACCACCTTTGAGCACAGGTATAATTATTCCTCTCTTCCATGCACTGGGAAATGTATTGGTTCTTATGGAGAGATTAATGAGGTGAGTCAACGGTTTGACAAGAACATCTTTATAATTTTTAAGAAAACCACTATTCATCATAAAAATATCATTAGACTTGGAATTTGAAAGTTCATCAATTATATCTGCAACTTTTTTTTCCTGACACCTCTTTAATATAAAATGAATCTGTTGTGGTGTCTCTCAGTGAAAGATTAAAATGATCAACGGGCTGGAAGTCTTTTGATAATTGTTCAACTGACTGTACAAAGTAAGAATTGAATTCATCAGCTATGGTGGCACTATCGGTTATGCTTTTGCCATTGATATTAAAGGGCACCTATTATGCCCCTTTTTACAAGATGTAATATTGGTCTCGGTTGTCCCCAGAATGTATTTGTGAAGTTTCAGCTCAAAATACCCCATAGTTAATTTATTATAACCCTTTGAAAATGTCATTTTGGGGCCTGTTTGAAAATGAGCTGTTATGAGGCCTGCCACTTTAATGCAAATGAGCTGCATATTCCCGCCCTGCCTTTGGATGAGGGCGTAACTTGAAACCTATGGCCGTCGGTAAGCAGAAGGGGAGAGTGAGAGACGCGCTATTTTGTCTGTCATTCAGCGTACGTTTGAATCGGAATATATAAACAGCACAAAGAGACTCCTGCAGAATAAACACAAATGAGAATGGACCAGTACGTCTCGGTATGGTTATTTGATACATTTATGTACTTACAGAGTTGTAATTGCGTCCTCTTTGCAAGTATGGAGGAGCAACACACACACACAGACACACAAACACTAACGCTGGCGCATTTTTTTAAAACTAACGTTACATACACGCTGTGATAAAATTTGCTACGTAACTTACAAGCGAAATTACATTTATGCGAGGGAGCTGTGGCGTCATGTTTACTTGTCATACAGGTGCTTCTGTGGCAAATGTGAGAAGATGGCTAACTTACAGAACAAGAACATATGCGGTTTTTAATACAATATCTTTAAAAATATATATTTATAAACGTGTGGTTACACACTATACACACAAGGTTTAAATTATATACACTGACATTCTACGACGACAACAATTTTAGACGCTTTTGTTGTTGAATTGGCTGACATCGACTGAAAACTATTTGCTCAAAAATCATAAAATACACTTACTGTTA